ATTAAAGCCAAGGCTTCATGACCACATATAACCTCCAGAGTCAAAGACATCCTGGCTAATAATATGTAGTACTGTAAAACAAAAATCAATTTGTACCAATATTGTATTGTTTTCCTAATTTGTTTAAAAGGAAGCAAATAGGAATGTATATCTTGGAATACATGTATCCATGAAAGTAAAGACAGTCCTGTTGCATTTTTTACTACATTTTACTACAGTATGGGTTGACAAGTGACATCTTTACAGATTTTCATTCTAGCTACCTACCATCACTGCAATGCAAGTATGATTGAATTGCGTTTAACACCACTTTCAGCACTATTGTACTATTTCGTGGCGGTCAGTTTTTATTGGTGGAGGAAGCCGGAGTGCCCAGAGAGAACCACCGACCTTCGGTAGGAAAACTGACAATCCTAGTCAATTAAGATTGTAGTCGAGCGCAACTTCCAGTGTCGGATTCGAACCCACAACCTCAGTGTTGACTGGCTTGTGATACAGTATATTGACTACTTAGACCACTCGGCCACCGAGGCTCCTACACAACCTCAGTGTTGACTGGCTAGTGATACAGTATATTGACTACTTAGACCACTCAGCCACCAAGGCTTCTACACAACCTCAGTGTTGACTGGCTACTGATACAGTATATTGACTACTTAGACCACTCAGCCAACAAGGCCCCCAATGGAAGTACCGTATAGCGGGTTATTTTCGCGGGGTGTTTATTTTCGCTTATTTTGGCGGATAAACGAAAATGGTGAAAATAAATTCCGCGAAAATTTATGCATACGTTTAGAAGTTTCGAAGTTAACATTGTGAAAGGATTTTGTAATCGATCTATTTTTCCCTGTTGGCAGGTCAATAACAGTATATGTTAGTTTTAACAAAATAAATGCCAAAGGGCATTGTACATAAATGTATTTTATAAAATGACTGTCAGGTGTGTATACCCTTATTAATAAGTGTCAATTAGAATAAGAGTGTAAGGTACTCTTATCAGGTAATTACCCCATATTAATTAGTGTCAAACTATATAAGAGTTGTAAACACTCATGATAATTTTGTAACCTAATTGCCAGTGAGTAAGTACATCAAAGGTCCGGTCAAATCTAATCAATCGTAAAATTTACAAGACGTTTGAATACCTGTAACAAATAATTATCTAAGTTAGCGGTATTCTAATGATTAACTGTATCAGAAACTAATCAATAAATAAGAGGTCATTTTGATAAAAACTAGAGGCTCTAAAGAGCCTGTGTCGCTCACCTTGGTCTATGTGCATATTAAACAAAGGACACAGATGGATTCATGACAAAATTGTGTTTTGGTGATGGTGATGTGTTTGTAGATCTTACTTTACTGAACATTCTTGCTCCTTACTACTATCTCTATCTATAATGAACTTGGCCCGGTAATTTTGGTCATGTTGACTTATTTGTAGATCTTACTTTGCTGAACATTATTGCTGTTTACAGTTTATCTCTATCTATAATAATATTCAAGATAATAACCAAAAACGGCAAAATTTCCTTAAAATTACCAATTCAGGGGCAGCAACCCAACAACGGGTTGCCTGATTGGTCTGAAAATTTCAGGGCAGATAGATCTTGACCTAATGAACAATTTTATCCTCATCAGATTTGCTCTAAATGCTTTGGTTTCAGAGATATGAGCCAAAAACTGCATTTTACCCTTTGTACTATTTTTTAGCCATGTCGGCCATCTTGGTTTGCGGGCGGGGTCATCGGACACATTTTTTAAACTAGATACCCTAATGATGATTGTGGACAAGTTTGGTTAAATTTGTCTTAGTAGTTTCAGAGGAGAAGATTTTTGTAAAAGATAACAAAAATTTACGAAAAATGGTTAAAAATTGACTATAAAGGGCAATAACTCCTTAAGGGGTCAACTGACCATTTTGGTCATGTTGACTTATTTGTCGATCTTACTTTGCTGAACATTATTGCTGTTTACAGTTTATCTCTATCTATAATAATATTAAATAATAACCAAAAACGGCAAAATTTCCTTAAAATTACCAATTCAGGGGCAGCAACCCAACAACGGGTTGCCTGAATGGTCTGAAAATTTCAGGGCAGATAGATCTTGACCTAATGAACAATTTTATCTCATCAGATTTGCTCTATATGCTTTGGTTTCAGAGATATGAGCCAAAAACTGCATTTTACCCTATGTACTATTTTTTAGCCATGTCGGCCATCTTGGTTCGCGAGCGGGGTCATCAGACACATTTTTTAAACTAGATACCCTAATGATGATTGTGGACAAGTTTGGTTAAATTTGTCTTAGTAGTTTCAGAGGAGAAGATTTTTGTAAAAAATTACAAAAATTTACGAAAAATGGTTAAAAATTTACTATAAAGGGCAATAACTGCTTAAGGGGTCAACTGACCATTTTGGTCATGTTGACTTATTTGTAGATCTTACTTTGCTGAACATTATTGCTGTTTACAGTTTATCTCTATCTATAATAATATTCAAGATAATAACCAAAAACGGCAAAATTTCCTTAAAATTACCAATTCAGGGGCAGCAACCCAACAACGGGTTGCCTGATTGGTCTGAAAATTTCAGGGCAGATAGATCTTGACCTAATGAACAATTTTATCCTCATCAGATTTGCTCTAAATGCTTTGGTTTCAGAGATATGAGCCAAAAACTGCATTTTACCCTATGTACTATTTTTTTAGCCATGTCGGCCATCTTGGTTCGCGGGCGGGGTCATCGGACACATTTTTTAAACTAGATACCCTAATGATGATTGTGGACAAGTTTGGTTAAATTTGTCTTAGTAGTTTCAGAGGAGAAGATTTTTGTAAAAGATAACAAAAATTTACGAAAAATGGTTAAAAATTGACTATAAAGGGCAATAACTCCTTAAGGGGTCAACTGACCATTTTGGTCATGTTGACTTATTTGTAGATCTTACTTTGCTGAACATTATTGCTGTTTACAGTTTATCTCTATCTATAATAATATTCAAGATAATAACCAAAAACGGCAAAATTTCCTTAAAATTACCAATTCAGGGGCAGCAACCCAACAACGGGTTGTCCGATTCATCTGAAAATTTCAGGGCAGATAGATCTTGACCTGATAAACAATTTTACCCCTGTAAGATTTGCTCTAAATGCTTTGGTTTCAGAGATATATGCCAAAATCTACATTTTACCCCTATGTTCTATTTTTAGCCATGGCGGCCATCTTGGTTGGTTGGCCGGGTCACCGGACACATTTTTTAAACTAGATACCCCAATGATGATTGTGGCCAAGTTTGGTCAAATTTGGCCCAGTAGTTTCAGAGGAGAAGATTTTTGTAAAAGTTTACGGACGACGGACGACGGACGCAGGACGACGGACGACGGACGCAAAGTGATGAGAAAAGCTCACTTGACCTTTCAGGTCAGGTGAGCTAAAAAAATTAATCAACCATAACAATAGACACTTGTTTGTCAAGTTTTACAACTTTTTAACTGCAACAATTTCAGGATCCACCAAAATATTTAATTGGGATTTAAGAATCCACCAAAATAAACACTGCCAAAATTTTTCGTATACTTTGTTGCCCCCAAATCGCGAAATTTTACACCCGTGAAAATAACCCGCTATACGGTATGAGACTTAGTCTGTGGATTCATTACTATTCCTGTGGTACTTAATTATTTACATGGATTTTGTGGTTATAGATGAAGCAGGTATCTAAAAGTACATCAAAATTTCAATTTTCTATAGGCTTGTTAAAAGATCTGGTCTAAACCACAAATCAATTATCCCAAAAATACAATTTTATCTGTCAAACCATGAAAACTTGTACTCATGAAAATAAACAAATCGACAGTATATTTATTCACAACTTTTCTTTTGTGGTTATAGGTCGAGAAAGTATCACAGAGTACACCAAAATTTCAATTTTTTATAAGCTTGATAAAAGAACTGGTCAAAACCACAAATCATTTATCAACGAAAATACAATTTATCCGTCAATCCATGAAAACTTGTAAATAAATTAATGGACTGTATATTTACATAACTTTTCTAGACTAGAGGCAACTTTGGGCTTGATATGTTGTATATAAACATCTGTCTATTGTTAAAGACTGTATGATCCAATATGAAGTCATAAATGGATGTTAAAGGCAAATCTTACAAACAAATGGAACAAAAGGCAATTGCACTTGACGAAAACTGTTCATCTTATACTTTGGCATTGGTATTTCTTACTATATTGGCTAACATTTATAGTATAGAAAATAGATACAATAATCCAATTTATGTGACTGCCGTGTACCAATTTCAATGGCAACAATGCTAGAACTGGGTTTAGACAAAATAATCATGATACCATATGTTTCTTTGTACTTTATATTATCTATATGGCACTGTTTTATTTTTTTTTTAGATTTTGTCAAATAAGGCTTTAAATAGATCTTAACTTTTATCATGTTTATAATGCAAATAAAATTGAGAATGGAAATGGGGAATGTGTCAAAGAGACAACAACCCGACCATAGAACAGACAACAGCAGAAGGTCACCAACAGGTCTTCAATGCAGCGAGAAATTCCCGCACCCGGAGGCGTCCTTCAGCTGGCCCCTAAACAAATATATATACTAGTTCAGTGATAATGAACGCCATACTAAACTCCAAATTGTACACAAGAAACTAAAATTAAAAATAATACAAGACTAACAAAGACTAGAGGCTCCTGACTTGGGACAGGCGCAAAAATGTGGCGGGGTTAAACATGTTTATGAGATCTCAACCCTCCCCCTATACCTCTAGCCAATGTAGAAAAGTACGCATAACAATACGCACAGTAAAATTCAGTTTGGTGGTAGGAAAAAAAGGAGGTGGGACATAATTGCTTCATGGTGAGTCCCCCATCTTGTTAGTACATTGCATTAAATTCAAGCAGACTACACATACAGGTAATATCAAAATCAGATTTGGCATTACCTATTCTGATATTCCATATCATACCTGTTTAGATGACTAAATCTCTCCTTCCAATTTTCAGCTCTTCCTATCTCTCCTGTGAGTTCATCTTTGATTTGCATACCATAAAAATCTAACATCATCTTATAAGACTTTAAAACTCTTTTATGGGCCTTTTCATCACTTATTATTCCCTGGAAAATATGTGTCTACTCTAAGCATCAACCTCAATAATGAATCTAAGCTAAGGAAAAAATTTCTTATTTTTTAAAGCAAGAAAATATTTCCATATTTGAAGATTTAAATGAAAATTTTACAGTTCAAAATATAAGGTTAACAACATAGTATAAAGTATAGATTATCAGGCTTTCTGCATACTGATCATGCAGATACAGTGAAGTATTATCTTTGAGTCACTACATGAAGCTTTTTGACAAGTGAGAGCTGCGAATAAGTTAAATAAAATAGTCTGCTGACACAGCTTAATACGACCGCAGAGGTCGAACCCTGAACACTAATATCAAGCATGATACAGCTCTGAATTTGGATTGTGATTAAATATTTGACAAGGCATAGGTTTCAGACACAGAATAAATGTGGTCAAAGAGCTGAAAAATTTGAATTGGATTTTTACCTATTATGGTCCAATATCCAAATACACTGTTAGATACAGCATATCCAAGTACACCAAGAATTTAATTTGTTCATCTATTAATGGACAATACTAGCTAAGTTTTTAAAGGGGTTTGCTTCATAAAAAAAATACATATATATATAGCAGTCTGAAAATTAATTCAGAGCCTAGTCTAGGATTTTGGAGAGGGAGAAGTGACTTCTCCTTCCATTAGAGAGTAGGGAGAAGTGGTCAAGTTCTTGGAGAAGTAAAATTCCATTACTGTTTCGGTTGCATAATGTTTTCATGCTTATCACTAAGGAAATTGTTTTATATATGCAATAAAAAATATACTTGCAGTTTTTTCATATGATATTGTACAAAATGTATATATTGAAAATTCTTAATAAAAAGGTTTAGACAATATAGTTGTTATTTATTTATTCATACCATTTGTACTGTCAACTTGAATTTAAGTTTAAATAAAATTTGTTGCTAGGGAGTAGCCTAGTAATATTATGATGCATTAATTCATGTGCATCTGCCTCAATTTATTTTTAAAAGTCCAGAAAAATATGACTCCCAGTTTATCTGATGAATTTTACATGACTGGGCAATTTAATGTATATCACCACTTGTCATAATTTTGTAAAACATTATTGAATGTCTAGGACATCATGTCAGTTGTAAATTGAGAATCTCGTGAAAGATTGTAAGCCTGTAAATGAAGATATCTGTCAACCACATATTAATTAACCGATAAAGAGCTTATTTTTATCATTTTTTTTTATAAAAGATATCTTCCTTATTAACGAATTGGTTGTAAAAAAAATCCAATGCTGATCACAAGCTGGCCATGTGTAGTACGTTTGCAATCACATTATCCATCAGCTGTCTTTCTACCTTTTATATTTCAATTTTTATTCAATGAATATAATAAATCTACCATTAATTCCCACCCTTAACCTTCCGAATAGTACAACTGATCGACTCGTTAGAAATAAAAATAAAACAAATCAGCTGAGTGATTACGCAACATCCTCAGATGAAAATCATCGTAAAATGATCTCAAACAGACGCTAAGTTTCCCATTTTAATAGTTGTGAATGTTGAATCAGAGGATGTTCAAAGTCGTCTTTGTATTTATTTCATTTGATCGTCGACAGTAAATTAGTCCTTGGTTGTTCTGAAAATCCTGATTTTCCTTGTCAGTAGCCATTTTTGTTTACCTGAGCGACTTGTAAATCACAAGTTGTCTTCCTTATACCGATTTTGATAGCAACTTGACTTCGTTATGAAGTCAGTCGGACGGTGAGATTAGGGATTTTCAAAATTCTTTGGCGACTTAAATTGTAATTTCGCCGGAAAGATTATGGCCTGTAATAATTTATACAAAATGACAAACAAACCTACCACAAAGTTCTTCAAAAATTTTACAAAAAAACCATTCATCATTAATAAAATGTCTTTAAAAAATCTTTAAAACTTACCTTTAATTATGTTTCAAAATATCTAATTATGAACAGTAAATTTCAAAGTATATTTAAACATGATTTCTTCTCTAAAATTAGAAATTGATGATGTATCTATTTTTACCTATGAATCTACTTACAATTTCTATTAATTGTGCAATACAGCTCTGAATTTGGATTGAGATTAAATATTTGACATAGCATAGATTTCTGACACAGAATGAATTTGGTCTAATGGTCCAATATCCAAAATCTAAATACATGGTTATATTCAGCATATCAAAGAACCCCACGAATTCATGTTTTGATGAAATCAAACATAGTTTAGTATTGGACCCTTTGGACCTCAATGTGGACCAATTTTATATAGGGGACCAAAATCCAAAATCTAAATACACAGTTAGAATCAGCATATCAATGAACCCCAAATATTCAATTTTTATTGAAATCAAACTAAGTTTAATTTTGGACTCTTTGGAACTTAATGTTGACAAATGGTTGACCAGTCTGAAAACTGGGCCCAAAATCAAAAATCTAAATACATGATTAGATTCAGCATATTAAAGAACCCCAAGAATTCTAGACTTTGAATTAAAACCCCATTGAAATAAGCAATTTATACAAAGTATTAGAAAAGTATTGTTTTTGGCCCTTTTTTTCCAAAATGGTTAGGGTCATAACCCCCCAAAATCATTCCTAACATTCCTTTTTTGGTATGGTACCTTGTGGTACAATTTCATAGAGATCCATAGACTTATACTCAAGTTATTGTCCAATAAAATGCTCCGCTGGGGCGCAGCTTGATACGACCGCAGAGGTCAAACCCTGAACAGTTGGGGCAAGTATGGACACAACATTCAAGCTTGATACAGCACTGAATTTGGATTGTAATTAAATATTTGACACAGCATAGGTTTCTGACACAGAATGAAAGTGGTCTAAGAACTTATAATTTTTTAATTTACCTATTCATATATGTGATGGACTGTGAAACTCAGATCAGGAGATTGGGAAATTTTGGTCAGGAGATTAGGACTCAGATCAGGAGGTTTTTAATCGACATAAATTTTGTCGTAAATGTAACCGTGTGCTGTAAAAATGGTCTTTTAAAGTGTGTTTTCTTCAACTTTCCATCCAATTTATTATGTTTATAGTACCCTTGTACTTATAAAGTTTCTCCATCTTTATATTTTACATGTTCAATCTAACATTTTTTTTTTTTCAGTATGTTCTTTAAATTTTTTACTTCATATTCTATAAAACATTTATTGCAACCAGAACATTTGTTTAACTATCTGCAAATAGCTTTTGTTTGCATACTCAGAAAATCATTCTAACTGTAAAACAAGGGTCATAGTTATTATATAAATTTCAATTTAAGCCTTGAAAGGAAGTATAGAATCCTCAAATAATTTTCAAATTATTATTTTTTTATTTGTCCTAAGACATTTAAAATCATTTATTTACCATCCTTTTATGATTATTTGTTCAATTTATATTTTATTTATATTCTTTTAAAAAATTTCATTATTAAAAGGAAAGTAACTTAAAACAGGATAAATCAAGGGAAGTAACCCAATAAATACACAGTTTTTGTTACACAACGGCAGTTAGCCTGAGGTAAAAAATCGTTGATTACCAGTATGTTTGACACCTAAGCTGACAAGTGAAGTCATATAATTATGCATGTTAATTGATTTACAGGTAAAATATAACTTCAGGTAATGTGAGTTACACCAGATGCCTGAGATGATAAGTTGGGCAGAAATTTTTCATTCATGAAAAATTTCATACACGGGATTATAATTTTCCTCTTCAACCGGAGGTCGGGAGGAGACTCCTGAAAACAGGATTATTGTACTCCTGTCGGGAGGTTCACATGTATGCTATTCAAACCATATCATTATTATTTGCTTTTATATATAAATCAGAAATAACCAATTTAAAATGGAAAATTTTAAAGAAAAAAAAGGAAAAAAAAATCCCCCCCCTAAATTTTTTGAACCCCCTTATGATTCATCGCCCCCACACTCAATCCCAGCTTTCCCTTTGTGGTATGGTACCTTGCAGTACAATTTTAGAGAGATCCATTCACTTGAACACAAGTTATTGTCTGGAAACTAGAAAAATGCTTGTTTTTTTGTCCCTTTTTGGCCCCTAATTCCTAAACGTTTAGGGCAATTACCCCCAAACTCCAACCCAGCTTTCCCTTTGTGATATGGAACCTTGCAGTACAATTTCATAAAGATCCATACACTAACACACAAGTTATTGTCCTGAAACTAGAAAAATGCTTGTTTTTTGCCCCTTTTTGGCCCCTAATTCCCCAAATTTGGAGGAAATTACCCCCAAAAATCAATCCCAGTATTCCCTTTGTGATATGGAATCTTGTGATACAATGTCAGAGAGATCCATACACTAACACACAAGTTATTGTCATGAAACTAGAAAAATGCTTGTTTTTTGCCCCTTTTTGGCCCCTAATTCCTAAAATTTGGAGGCAATTACCCCCAAAATCAATCCCAGCATTCCCTTTGTGATATGGAACCTTGTGGTACAATGTCAGAGAGATCCATATACTTACACACAAGTTATGTCTGGAAGTTACAATAAAATGCTCCGCAGGGCGCAGCTTGATATGACCGCAGAGGTCGAACCCTGAACAGTTGGGGCAAGTATGGACACAACATTCAAGCTTGATACAGCTCTGAATTTGGATTGTGATTAAATATTTGACACAGCATAGGTTTCTGACACAGAATGAATGTGGTCTAAGAACTTAAAAATTTTAAATTGGACATTCACCTATTATGGTCCAATATCCAAAATCTAAATACATGGTTAGATTCAGCATATCAAAGAACCCCAAGAATTCAATTTTTGATGAAATCAAACAAAGTTTAATTTAGGACCCTTTTGACCTCAATGTGGACAAAGTTGATAATGGGGCCCAAAAATCAAAAATCTAAATACATGGTTAGATTCAGCATATCAAAGAACCCCATATATTCAATTTTTGTTGAAATCAAACAAAGTTTAATTTTGGACCCCGATTTGGACCAACTTGAAAACTGGGCCCATAATCAAAAATCTAAATACATGTTTAGATTCAGCATATCAAAGAACCCTAAAAATTCAATTTTTGTTAAAATCAAACTAAGTTTAATTTTGGACCCTTTGGACCTTAATGTAGACCAATTTGAAAACGGAACCAAAAATTAAGAATCTAAATACACGGTTAGATTCGGCATATCAAAGAACCCCAATAATTCAATTTTTGATGAAATCAAACAAAGTTAAATTTTGGACCCTTTTGACCTCAATGTGGACAAAGTTGATAACGGGGCCCAAAAATCAAAAATCTAAATACATGGTTAGATTCAGCATATCAAAGAACCCCATATATTCAATTTTTGTTGAAATCAAACAAAGTTTAATTTTGGACCCCGATTTGGACCAACTTGAAAACTGGGCCCATAATCAAAAATCTAAATACATGTTTAGATTCAGTATATCAAAGAACCCTAAAAATTCAATTTTTGTTAAAATCAAACTAAGTTTAATTTTGGACCCTTTGGACCTCAATGTAGACCAATTTGAAAACGGAACCAAAAATTAAGAATCTAAATACACGGTTAGATTCAGCATATCAAAGAACCCCAATAATTCAATTTTTGATGCAATCAAACAAAGTTAAATTTTGGACCCTTTGGACCTCAATGTGGACCAATTTAAAAACGGGGCCAAAAATCCAAAAACTTAATACACGGTTAGATTCAGCATATTAAAGAACCCCAAGAATTCAAGAATAAAACCCCATTGAAATTGATCAAGAAATAAGCAATTTATACGAAGTATCTTCTTTTGCACAATACTGTGCAATTGAATATTTCTTGCTATTGCGCAATACTGTACAATTGACAATTTCTTGCTTTTGCGCAATATTGTGCTATTGGATATTTCTTGCTATTGCGCAATATTGTGCAATTGAAGATTTCTTGCTATTGCGCAATACTGTGCAATTGAAGATTTCTTGCTATTGTGCAATACTGTGCAATTGAAAATTTCTTGCTATTGCACAATACTTATTAGATAATAATTTACACATCCTGTTTGGTGTGTATCTCCTACCATATCATTATTATTTGCTTTTAAATATTAATCAGAAATAACCAACTTAAAATGGAAAATTTTAAAAGAAAAAAAAAAGGAAAAAAAGAAAAAAAAAGAAAAAAAAAAATCCCCCCCCAAATTTTTTGAACCCCCTTATGATTCATCACCCCCAAACTCAATCCCAGCCTTCCCTTTGTGGTATGGTACCTTGCAGTACAATTTCAGAGAGATCCATACACTTGAACACAAGTTATTGTCTGGAAACTAGAAAAATGCTTATTTTTGGCCCCTTTTTGGCCCCCAATTCCTAAACGTTTCGGGCAATTACCCCCAAACTCAATTCCAGCTTTCCCTTTGTGATATGGAACCTTGTAGTACAATTTCAGAAATATCCAAACACTTACACACAAGTTATTGTCATGAAACTAGAAAAATGCTTGTTTTTTGCCCCTTTTTTGGCCCCTAATTCCTAAAATTTTGAGGCAATTACCCCCAAAATCAATTACAGCCTTTCCTTTGTGATATGGAACCTTGTGGTACAATGTCAGAGAGATCCATACACTTATACACAAGTTATTGTCTGGAAGTTACAAAAATGCTTATTTTTGGCCCCTTTTTGGCCCCTAATTCCTTAACTGTTGGTACCATAACCCCCAAAATCAATCCCAACCTTTCTTTCGTGGTATTGAACCTTATGGTAAAATTTCATGGAGATCCATTCACTTAAACTAAAGTTAGAGTGCGAAAACCAATGTGTCTTCGGACGACGCCGGACGACGACGACGACGACGACGACGACGACGCCAACGTCATACCAATATACGACCAAAAATTTTTTAATTTTTGCGGTCGTATAAAAACCAGAAAATCCTAGTTTTTTGCCCCTAATTCCTAAAAGGTTTTGGCCATAACCCCCAAAATCAATCCCAACCTTCCTTTTAATGTATGAAACCTTGTGATACTATTTCATAGAGATCCATACACGTAAACACAAGGTGTCCTGAAACAAGAAAAATACTTGTTTTTGGAACCTTTTTAGCCCCTAATTTTGTTAGGACAAAAACCAACAAAATCAATCACAACCTTCCTTTTGTGTTATGTAACCTTGTGGTACAATTTCATAGAGATTCATGCACTTATACTGAAGTTATTGTCTGGAAACCAAATGTCTTCAGATGACGACGATGGAGATGTCATAACATATTACGACTGCAAAAATTTTGTGGTCTTATAAAAATGGCTTTATATTGTGTCGACTAATATCATGATGAAAATCTCATAATGAATTTATCAGATTGTATTTTTGTGTTTTATATAAACAATAGTTTTTCTCAAGTTTTTTTTCAGACTATAAAAAATTTGTGGGTCAACTTATAGGTTTAAACACTGTTAAGTTGATGATAAGTCTGTGTCAAAGATATTTAGGCTGTGTCATGCACAATTGCCATCAAGAAGCCATAATATGCAATTTTATAAAGAGCTCTGAGCTGGGAAAAGTGATACAGACACAGGGAAATATTAAGTATCTCCTAAATTTTAGTATAGTGTCTATACAAGCACATATATATGAAAATATGAGGCAAAATTGACTTACGTCTGCTTCATGTTTTTGTAACACCTGTGCATGAAAATTCATCCCGGATTCTCTTATAGGAAACAACCTTAAAAATATAGAATTATATCATTTCATGTATTGTATGTTTCTGATTTTTTAGAAAACATGTAATTGTCATCATTCATATAAAAATGGCTGTCATGTGAGGTCAAAAATTTGATACTCTAATACTACCATAAAGGTATTCATATGCAATGTCTTACCAGGAAAATTTACTAAAAACAACTGTAATTTATAAAGAAAACATTGAAAAAATGGGAAAATATCAAGTACTTTTTCTTCATTTCAGAATCTACGGCTTTCTTGGTAAATTTAAAAAAAAAAAAACAACACTAAAACTATATGACTAGTTTTCAATGTCCTAGAAAATAGAAATTCAACCAGTTTTTATTTTAGAGAACAAACAATGAAAGTACCAAAAGTTCTGTAGATTCTGCAATGGCGATTGAAATACTTAACTTTCAAGTAATAAATTATTAACATAATCATTATAATACAAGTACATTTTCATTTTTCATTTACAAATTAATGAATCACTTTAGAACGAAAATATAAATTTGTAATTCTTTTCAAATTTTAAAATAATTAATAATGCCTTATTTCTTTACACACAATCCTTAACCTTCCAAACCAAAAGTTTTGACACCAACATATATATGACAGTATATGAAAAATTACATTTCAGGGTATTAATTGTTCTTTCCAAATTGTTTGAAAATACTAAAACCACAGATGTCCACCAAAACATATTCCCTGTGAATGAAGCCCCCCTTCCAAATGGATTGATATTTGAATATTAAAGGACAATGCTGAACCAGGCAAAGAAAGTCATGAGCCTGTAATGCAGTGGTTGTTGTTTGTTGCAGTATATCATATTTGATGTTGGTGTGTTATCCATCTGAATAAAACCGCTTTAAAAAGTGCTCTCATAAAATAAACAAATATATATATATTTGTTGCATTATTTGTTGCATGAATGTCAAATTTTTAAGCATTTAAAAAATCGTTACCATTGGATATAGCCATGATGTCTTTCAAGTAACTTGTAGTTACCCCACCATTTCTTGTGAATTGTGTCTATATAATCACCTGTAAATAAAAAAATAACAGCATTCATTTATACAGTGTTTAATTAAATCTATGACTAAAAAGAAATTTCTATATCTATAATGCAAATTTTTACATAAAAATAAAAGCACCACAAGAGTTTTGGGGTATAGAAATATAGTCATCCCTTGGATTTCTCGTCTGGCAGTTAAAACCCATGCTAAAGGAGCATCTATTTGTTTGTATGGAATATATAATTACCAAGCCACGTCTGGACAGATGCCTCTGGAAAAGAGTGCCACACTCTCTGCACTCTATAAGACTCTTGCAACAACTACAAGATATCCATAGGTAGCTCATTGCAAGGTAAAAGGTCTGGCCATATTCAACATATCATCACTATCCAGTCACAATAAAATTTCTCATCCATTATCCAGGTCAACCAACTTGGCAGTACCTACCTAATCATGCTGTTTTATCAAATGTTAATTTGTTCTTATTCTGAATATGCTTTATTTGCAATTAATGAAACAACAACTCTAAAACACAATAAAACCAGGAAAAAGACATTCACAGGAAAAGCAACACACTGTCGTTTTCTATACCATGAGTCAAGCTCTTATTTTTTTGCAATTTAAGACATAAATTAAATCTTACAGATTTAGCTGTTTCATACACCCATGAATATTGTGTCAAATGATATGCTAGAGTTCAATTTTACAACTCAGACATTTGCAAGACCTAGTCACTTATTTTTTTATAATATTCTTGAAAATCTTTTGTTGAACATGTTTTTAATAACTTTATAAATCTTGAATGTTTAATATGCATTTTTGTTTTCTTGTTTTTGTATTGTTGTTTTTTTTGTTATCTACAATGTAATATACCAGTATTAGTATACTGTACTGACTTTTATTGCCACAGTCAACAATGAGAAATAACCATATCTTCTAGTAAGCTATAAACGTTACCAGACAACAAAATGTGAAAAAATACAACAAATAAAAGACAAAAAGTATCGATCTATGAGTAATTGCAATTACTGAAAGCTGCATCATTTTGTGATCTAAGAGTAAGAGTTCTCGCAGTGTACTGAAAATGCAACCATAAAAATGACAAAAGTACTGATCTAATAGCATTAACAGTTACTGAAAGCTGAATCTCATAAAAATGACAAAAGTACTGATCTAATAGTATTAACAGTTACTGAAAGCTGCATCCCATAAAAATGACAAAAGTACTGATCTAATTGTATTCACAGTTACTGAAAGCTGCAACCCATAAAAATGACAAAAGTACTGATCTAATAGTATTCACAGTTACTGAAAGCTGCATCCCATAAAAATGACAAAAGTACTGATCTAATAGTATTCACAGTTACTGAAAGCTGCATCCCATAAAAATGTTTTTGACAAAAGTACTGATCTAATTGTATTAACAGTTACTGAAAGCTGCAACTCTTAATAAAATGCTCCGAAGGGCGCAGCTTGATACGACCGCAGAGGTCGAACCCTGAACAGTTGGGGCAAGTATGGACACAACATTCAAGCTTGATACAGCTTTGCATTTGGATTGTGATTAAATATTTGTCACAGCATAGGTTTCTGACACAGAATGAATGTGGTCTAAGAACTTAAAAATTTTAAATTGGACATTCACCTATTATGGTCCAATATCCAAAATCTAAATACATGGTTAGATTCAGCATATCAAAGAACCCCAAGAATTCAATTTTTGATGAAATCAAACAAAGTTTAATTTTGGACCCTTTTGACCTCAATGTGGACAAAGTTGATAACGGGGCCCAAAAATCAAAAATCTAAATACATGGTTAGATTCAGCATATCAAAGAACCCCATATATTCAATTTTTGTTGAAATCAAACAAAGTTTAATTTTGGACCCCGATTTGGACCAACTTGAAAACTGGGCAATTTATACGAAGTATCTTCTTTTGCACAATACTGTGCAATTAAATATTTCTTGCTATTGGGCAATACTGTACAATTGACAATTTCTTGCTATTGCCCAATATTGTGCTATTGGATATTTCTTGCTATTGCGCAATACTGTGCAATTGAAGATTTCTTGCTATTGCGCAATACTGTGCAATTGAAGATTTCTTGCTATTGCGCAATACTGTGCAATTGAAGATTTCTTGCTATTGTGCAATACTGTGCAATTGAAAATTTCTTGCTATTGCACAATACTTATTATATAATAATTTACACATCCTGTTTGGTGTGTATCTCCTACCATATCATTATTATTTGCTTTTAAATATAAATCAGAAATAACCAACTTAAAATGGAAAATTTTAAAAGAAAAAAAAAAAGGAAAAAAAGAAAAAAAAGGAAAAAAAAAAATCCCCCCCCCCCCAAAATTTTTTTAAACCCCCTTATGATTCATCACCCCCAAACTCAATCCCAGCCTTCCCTTTGTGGTATGGTACCTTGCAGTACAATTTCAGAGAGATCCATACACTTGAACACAAGTTATTGTCTGGAAACTAGAAAAATGTGTTTTTTGGTCCCTTTTTGGCCCCAAATTCCTAAACGTTTAGGGCAATTACCCCCAAACTCAAACCCAGCTTTCCCTTTGTGATATGGAACCTTGTAGTACAATTTCAGAAAGATCCATACACTTACATACAAGTTATTGTCCTGAAACTAAAAAAAATGCTTGTTTTTTGCCCCTTTTTTGCCCCTAATTCCTAAAATATTGAGGCAATTACCCCCATCATCAATCCCAGCCTTCCCTTTGTGGTATGGTACCTTGCAGTACAATTTCAGAGAGATCCATACACTTGAACACAAGTTATTGTCTGGAAACTAGAAAAATGCTTATTTTTGGCCCCTTTTTGGCCCCCAATTCCTAAACGTTTCGGTAATTACCCCCAAACTCAATTCCAGCTTTCCCTTTGTGATATGGAACCTTGTAGTACAATTTCAGAAAGATCCATACACTTACACACAAGTTATTGTCATGAAACTAGAAAAATGCTTGTTTTTTGCCCCTTTTTGGCCCCTAATTCCTAAAATTTTGAGGCAATTACCCCCAAAATCAATCCCAGCATTCCTTTTGTGATATGGAACCTTGTGGTACAATGTCAGAGAGATCCATACACTAACACACAAGTTATGTCTGGAAGTTACAAAAATGCTTATTTTTGGCCCCTTTTTGGCCCCTAATTCCTTTACTGTTGGTACCATAACCCCCAAAATCAATCCCAACCTTCCTTTTGTGGTATTGAACCTTGTGGTAAAATTTCATAGAGATCCATTCACTTAGACTAAAGTTAGAGTGCGAAAACCAATGTGTCTTCGGACGAAGCCGGACGACGCCAGACGACGACGACGACGACGACGCCAACGTCATACCAATATACGACCACAAAAATTTTTTTGCGGTCGTATAAAAATGACAAAAGTACTGATCTAATAGTATTCCTGCTTTTGTTACTGCTTGTTATTCAACTGATTGCTATTTAAAGGGAGATAAGCTAAATTCTGAAAATTATTTTAACCCTGCCACATTGTCATGTGCTGGTTCAAACTCAGAAAACTATATTGTCTTTTATTACAATATTTTTCTGTTTTTTTTTCAGTTAAGGAATTTGGTTTTGATGTCAGATCTTTGATTATCTCTCTTCAATTTGTTAACGAATGTAGTCTGCAGCTAATTAAATATTGTAAAGACACTTGAGCACTGATGAAATTGTAAGTTAACTGGAGTTGTCTTTTGGTTGTTTTTGTTTTATAATTGGGTTGCTGTGTCTGTGATGTTTAGACCTCATCACCCTTTATTCATACAACTGTCATGACTGTACAAGTGTAGATATAACTTCAATATGTTTCTGTTGCATGACATAGGGTTGGCACAATTTAACCAGATTTCACTAATCTCAATTCATTCTTAGTAAAACTATATACTTACCATCAGGATAAGATTTTAAATCATTCTTGTAAAACTTCAAGTTATCCTTTTGATCTAGTCTATCACTTTTACCCTGAAAAAAAAATATGAAAAGGTTTATCGAACAAGAAATAAAACTGTCAAATGTGGTAGATGCAGTTTTTGTTACAGACCCCCTAAAGGTTGCACTTTGTAAATACAGCTGTTTCTCAAACCACGCCTCTTTTGGGGAGATATAGAATATTCATAGATAATTAATTTTGTTTACATACTGGTTCCCAGTTATGATCTCTATGTTTCATCTCATAGAGACATAACTTGGGAATGTTACCAGTAAATATACATATGCATATTGTTTATATTGAAATCTGTGGTAATCCTAGTTAAGGTAGGGGTAGTTAAGAAATTTAGTGTTAGTTTAAACTCTTAGAAGTTCGAGGCATATAAACGTTGAAAATATGCCGCACAGCCCAATATTTTGACCTTTGAAAAAAATAGTAGTGCATATGAACTTTCCATTCTAGGATATGATTTTTTTCAAAACTTCATAGTAAAAGTGGTACAGTTTTAGCCGTAAAAGGAGTTCCTATGGGAAATTGTTAATATTTACAGAAATGCAACCTATACTAGACCATCATCAACCTTGAGTTTTCTTTTAACTAAACTGATCCCTGCCACAAATCAGAAACTTTTTCTGTGGTTTACTGTCGTATGCTATTATGTTACATGATTTTTGTTATTTGTTGAATTAGACATTGATGGCAGATCTTTGATGGTTTACTGTCATATGTTATTATGTTACATGATTTTTGTTATTTGGTGAATTAGGCATTGATGGCAGATCTTTGATGGTTTACTGTCATATGTTATTATGTTACATGATTTTTGTTATTTGGTGAATTAGACATTGATGGCATTCTTGATGGTTTACTGTCATATGTAATTATGTTACATGATTTTTGTTATTTGGTGAATAAGACATTGATGGCAGATCTTTAATGGTTTACTGTCATATGTTATTATGTTACATGATTTTTGTTATTTGGTGAATTAGGCATTGATGGCAGATCTTTGATGGTTAACTGTCATATGTTATTATGTTACATGATTTTTTTTATTTGGTGAATTAGGCATTGATGGCAGATCTTTGATGGTTTACTGTCATATGTTATTACGTTACATGATTTTTGTTATTTGGTGAATTAGACATTGATGGCAGATCTTTGATGGTTTACTGTATGTTATTATGTAACATGATTTTTGTTATTTGGTGAATTAGACATTGATGGCAGATCTTTGATGTTTACTGTCATATGTTATTATGTTACATGATTTTTGCTATTTGGTGAATAAGACATTGATGGAAGATCTTTGGTGTTTTACTGTATGTTATTATGTTACATGATTTTTGTTATTTGGTGAATTAGGCATTGATGGCAGATCTTTGGTGGTTAACTGTCATATGTAATTATGTTACATGATTTTTGTTATTTGGTGAATTAGGCATTGATGGCAGATCTTTGGTGGTTTACTGTATGTTATTATGTTACATGATTTTTTTTATTTGGTGAATTAGGCATTGATGGCAGATCTTTGATGGTTAACTGTCATATGTAATTATGTTACATGATTTTTGTTATTTGGTGAATAAGACATTGATGGCAGATCTTTGGTGGTTTACTGTATGTTATTATGTTACATGATTTTTGTTATTTGGTGAATTAGGCATTGATGGCAGATCTTTGATGGTTAACTGTCATATGTTATTATGTTACATGATTTTTTTTATTTGGTGAATTAGGCATTGATGGCAGATCTTTGATGGTTAACTGTCATATGTAATTATGTTACATGATTTTTGTAATTTGGTGAATTAGGCATTGATGACAGATCTTTGACGGTTTACTCTATGTTATTATGTTACATGATTTTTTTTATTTGGTGAATTAGGCATTGATGGCAGATCTTTGATGGTTAACTGTCATATGTAATTATGTTACATGATTTTTGTAATTTGGTGAATTAGGCATTGATGACAGATCTTTGACGGTTTACTCTATGTTATTATGTTACATGATTTTTGTAATTTGGTGAATTAGACATTGATGGCAGATCTTTGGTGGTTTACTGTCATATGTTATTATGTTACATGATTTTTGTTATTTGGTGAATTAGACATTGATGGCAGATCTTTGATGGTTAACTGTCATATGTAATTATGTAACATGATTTTTGTTATTTGGTGAATTAGACATTGATGGCAGATCTTTGATGGTTTACTGTATGTTATTATGTTAGATGATTTTTGTTATTTGGTGAATAAGACATTAATGGCAGATCTTTGATGGTTTACTGTCATATGTTATTATGTTACATGATTTTTGTTATTTGGTGAATTAGGCATTGATGGCAGATCTTTAATGGTTTACTGTCATATGTTATTATGTTACATGATTTTTGTTAATTGTTGAATTAGGCATTGATGGCAGATCTTTCGTGGTTTACTGTCATATGTTATTATGTTACATGATTTTTGTTATTTGGTGAATTAGGCATTGATGGCAGATCTTTCGTGGTTTACTGTCATATGTTATTATGTTACATGATTTTTCTTATTTGGTGAATTAGACATTGATGGCAGATCTTTCGTGGTTTACTGTCATATGTTATTATGTTACATGATTTTTGTTATTTGGTGAATTAGGCATTGATGGCAGATCTTTCGTGGTTTACTGTCATATGTTATTATGTTACATGATTTTTGTTATTTGGTGAATTAGGCATTGATGGCAGATCTTTGATGGTTAACTGTCATATGTAATTATGTTACATGATTTTTGTTATTTGGTGAATAAGACATTGATGGCAGATCTTTGGTGGTTTACTGTATGTTATTATGTTACATGATTTTTGTTATTTGGTGAATTAGGCATTGATGGCAGATCTTTGATGGTTAACTGTCATATGTAATTATGTTACATGATTTTTGTTATTTGTTGAATTAGACATTGATGGCAGATCTTTGATGGTTTACTGTCATATGTTATTATGTTACATGATTTTTGTTATTTAGACATTGATGGCAGATCTTTGGTGGTTTACTGTCATATGTTATTATGTAACTTGATTTTTCTTATTTGGTGAATTAGACATTGAAGGCAGATCTTTGATGATTACCTGTCATATGTAATTATGTAACATGATTTTTGTTATTTGGTGAATTAGACATTGATGGCAGATCTTTGATGGTTTACTGTCATATGTTATTATGTTACATGATTTTTGTTATTTGGTGAATTAGACATTGATGGCAGATCTTTGGTGGTTTACTGTCATATGTTATTATGTAACTTGATTTTTCTTATTTGGTGAATTAGACATTGATGGCAGATCTTTGATGATTAACTGTCATATGTAATTATGTAACATGATTTTTGTTATTTGGTGAATTAGACATTGATGGCAGATCTTTGGTGGTTTACTGTCATATGTAATTATGTTACATGATTTTTGTTATTTGGTGAATTAGACATTGATGGCAGATCTTTGATGGTTTACTGTATGTTATTATGTTGGATGATTTTTGTTATTTGGTGAATAAGACATTGATGGCAGATCTTTGATGGTTCACTGTCATATGTTATTATGTTACATGATTTTTGTTATTTGGTGAATTAGGCATTGATGGCAGATCTTTGATGGTTTAATGTCATATGTTATTATGTTACATGATTTTTGTTATTTGGTGAATTAGGCATTGATGGCAGATCTTTGGTGGTTTACTGTCATATGTTATTATGTTACATGATTTTTGTTCTTTGGTGAATTAAGCATTGATGGCAGATCTTTCGTGGTTTACTGTCATATGTTATTATGTTACATGATTTTTGTTATTTGGTGAATTAGACATTGATGGCAGATCTTTGGTGGTTTACTGTCATATGTTATTATGTAACTTGATTTTTCTTATTTGGTGAATTAGACATTGATGGCAGATCTTTGATGATTAACTGTCATATGTAATTATGTAACATGATTTTTGTTATTTGGTGAATTAGACATTGATGGCAGATCTTTGATGGTTTACTGTCATATGTTATTATGTTACATGATTTTTGTTATTTGGTGAATTAGACATTGATGGCAGATCTTTGGTGGTTTACTGTCATATGTTATTATGTAACTTGATTTTTCTTATTTGGTGAATCAGACATTGATGGCAGATCTTTGGTGGTTTACTGTGATATGTTATTATGTAACTTGATTTTTCTTATTTGGTGAATTAGGCATTGATGGCAGATCTTTGATGGTTTACTGTCATATGTTATTATGTAACATGATTTTTGTTATTTGGTGAATAAGACATTGATGGCAGATCTTTGGTGGTTTACTGTCATATGTTATTATGTTACATGATTTTTGTTATTTGGTGAATTAGACATTGATGGCAGATCTTTGATGGTTTACTGTATGTTATTATGTTGGATGATTTTTGTTATTTGGTGAATAAGACATTGATGGCAGATCTTTGGTGGTTTACTGTGATATGTTATTATGTAACTTGATTTTTCTTATTTGGTGAATTAGGCATTGATGGCAGATCTTTGATGGTTTACTGTCATATGTTATTATGTAACATGATTTTTGTTATTTGGTGAATAAGACATTGATGGCAGATCTTTGGTGGTTTACTGTCATATGTAATTATGTTACATGATTTTTGTTATTTGGTGAATTAGGCATTGATGGCAAATCTTTGATGGTTTAATGTCATATGTTATTATGTTACATGATTTTTGTTATTTGGTGAATTAGGCATTGATGGCAGATCTTTGGTGGTTTACTGTCATATGTTATTATGTTACATGATTTTTGTTCTTTGGTGAATTAAGCATTGATGGCAGATCTTTCGTGGTTTACTGTCATATGTTATTATGTTACATGATTTTTGTTATTTGGTGAATTAGACATTGATGGCAGATCTTTCGTGGTTTACTGTCATATGTTATTATGTTACATGATTTTTGTTCTTTGGTGAATTAAGCATTGATGGCAGATCTTTTATTGTCGTATGCTATTATGTTACATGATTTTTGTTATTTGGTGAATTAGACATTGATGGCAGATCTTTCGTGGTTTACTGTCATATGTTATTATGTAACATGATTTTTGTTCTTTGGTGAATTAAGCATTGATGGCAGATCTTTCGTGGTTTACTGTCATATGTTATTATGTTACATGATTTTTGTTATTTGGTGAATTAGGCATTGATGGCAGATCTTTCGTGGTTTACTGTCATATGTTATTATGTTACATGATTTTTGTTATTTGGTGAATTAGGCATTGATGGCAGATCTTTCGTGGTTTACTGTCATATCTTATTATGTTACATGATTTTTATTATTTGTTGAATTAGACATTGATGGCAGATCTTTGATGGTTTACTGTCATATGTTATTATGTTACATGATTTTTGTTATTTGGTGAATTAGGCATTGATGGCAGATCTTTCGTGGTTTACTGTCATATGTAATTATGTTACATGATTTTTGTTATTTGGTGATTAAGACATTGATGGCAGATCTTTGGTGGTTTACTGTATGTTATTATGTTACATGATTTTTGTTATTTGGTGAATTAGGCATTGATGGCAGATCTTTGATGGTTAACTGTCATATGTAATTATGTTACATGATTTTTGTTATTTGTTGAATTAGACATTGATGGCAGATCTTTGATGGTTTACTGTCATATGTTATTATGTTACATGATTTTTGTTATTTGGTGAATTAGACATTGATGGCAGATCTTTGGTGGTTTACTGTCATATGTTATTATGTAACTTGATTTTTCTTATTTGGTGAATTAGACATTGATGGCAGATCTTTGATGATTAACTGTCATATGTAATTATGTAACATGATTTTTGTTATTTGGTGAATTAGACATTGATGGCAGATCTTTGATGGTTTACTGTCATATGTTATTATGTTACATGATTTTTGTTATTTGGTGAATTAGGCATTGATGGCAGATCTTTGATGGTTTAATGTCATATGTTATTATGTTACATGATTTTTGTTATTTGGTGAATTAGGCATTGATGGCAGATCTTTGGTGGTTTACTGTCATATGTTATTATGTTACATGATTTTTGTTCTTTGGTGAATTAAGCATTGATGGCAGATCTTTCGTGGTTTACTGTCATATGTTATTATGTTACATGATTTTTGTTATTTGGTGAATTAGACATTGATGGCAGATCTTTCGTGGTTTACTGTCATATGTTATTATGTTACATGATTTTTGTTCTTTGGTGAATTAAGCATTGATGGCAGATCTTTGATGGTTTACTGTCGTATGCTATTATGTTACATGATTTTTGTTATTTGGTGAATTAGACATTGATGGCAGATCTTTCGTGGTTTACTGTCATATGTTATTATGTAACATGATTTTTGTTCATTGGTGAATTAAGCATTGATGGCAGATCTTTTGTGGTTTACTGTCATAGATAATTATGTTACATGATTTTTGTTATTTGCTGAATTAGGCATTGATGGCAGATCTTTCGTGGTTTACTGTCATATGTTATTATGTTACATGATTTTTGTTCTTTGGTGAATTAAGCATTGATGGCAGATCTTTCGTGGTTTACTGTCATATGTTATTATGTTACATGATTTTTGTAATTTGGTGAATTAGGCATTGATGGCAGATCTTTCGTGGTTTACTGTCATATGTTATTATGTTACATGATTTTTGTTATTTGGTGAATCAGGCATTGATGGCAGATCTTTGATGGTAAACTGTATGTTATTATGTTACATGATTTTTTTTATTTGGTGAATTAGGCATTGATGGCAGATCTTTGATGTTTACTGTATGTTATTATGTAACATGATTTTTGTTTTTTGGTGAATTAGACATTGATGGCAGATCTTTGATGGTTTACTGTCATATGTTATTATGTTACATGATTTTTGTTATTTGGTGAATCAGGCATTGATGGCAGATCTTTGATGGTTTACTGTCATATGTTATTATGTTACATGATTTTTGTTATTTGGTGAATTAGGCATTGATGGCAGATCTTTGATGGTTTACTGTCATATGTTATTATGTTACATGATTTTTGTTATTTGGTGAATTAGGCATTGATGGCAGATCTTTGATGGTTTACTGTCATATGTTATTATGTTACATGATTTTTGTTATTTGGTGAATTAGACATTGATGGGAGATCTTTGATGGTTTGCTGTATGTTATTATGTTACATGATTTTTGTTATTTGTTGAATTAGACATTGATGGCAGATCTTTCGTGGTTTACTGTCATATGTTATTATGTTACATGATTTTTGTTATTTGGTGAATTAGGCATTGATGGCAGATCTTTGATGGTTTACTGTCATATGTTATTATGTTACATGATTTTTGTTATTTGGTGAATTAGGCATTGATGGCAGATCTTTGATGGTTTAATGTCATATGTTATTATGTTACATGATTTTTGTTATTTGGTGAATTAGGCATTGATGGCAGATCTTTGATGGTTTACTGTCATATGTTATTATGTTACATGATTTTTGTTATTTGGTAAATTAGGCATTGATGGCAGATCTTTGGTGGTTTACTGTATGTTATTATGTTACATGATTTTTGTTATTTGGTGAATTAGACATTGATGGCAGATCTTTGATTGTTTGCTGTATGTTATTATGTTATATGATTTTTGTTATTTGGTGAATTAGGCATTGATGGCAGGTCTTTGATAGTTTCTGTTTAATTCATAAACAATTTTTTTATTCATACTTATTGTTGAAGTCCTTAGTATATACAAATTATTGTTAGTCAATCAATAATTAAATATAAAAACATCAACTGTAGTCACAGGAAACAACATATCTAAATTTGAAAAGATTTTGTAAAAGCGGTTTCATGTTAATGAACGGACACTGTTTGGCAGCAGCCCGCCCGCCGAACATCCCCAAATCAATAACCGATTTTTCCTTCGAAAATCGGTTAAAAACTTAATACTGACAAATGAACCATTAAAATGAGGTCAAGGTCAGATGAAACCTGCCAGACTGACATGTACCCATTACAATCATCCATACACCACATATAGTTGACCTGCTGCTTATAGTATTTGAGAAACAGACCTAATCACGTAACTTTAACATTGATCACTGTTCCATGAAATGACGTCGAGGTTAGGTGAACCCTGTCTAACAGACATGTAGACGTAACAAGGAACCCATATACCAAAATATGGTTATCCTTTTACTCATAATAAGTGAGAAATTCACATGACTAAAAAACTCAAATTTTTTTTCAAGCAGTCGTTGAACCATGAAAATAAGGTCAAGGACATTGGACATATGACAGACAGAAACTTCGTAACATAAGGTATCTGCATACAAGATATGAAGCATCCAGGTCTTCTACCTTCTGAAATATAAAGCTTTATACAAATAGTTTACCACGGCCGCCGCCGAATAGTAATACCTATGCCTCACATACTGCGACATTCGTCACAGGCGAGACAAAAACCATGGCTTTCAGACTGAAATGAAATAATAAAAAAAATCCTTGTTCTTAACATTGTCAAAGTATCGTAATGGTGATTTTTATACATGTTATATATTTTCTTCTAATTTATAGCCATTTTCTCCTTTTATAATTGGTATGTTGAAAAAAATCCTATCTCTAATGAACAAACATTGATGCCTGACCTTATCACAAGAAAACTTACAGGATATCCATTTCGATAATCCTCTGTATCTTTCTTTTTCCAGTCACCAGAACTCCATCCGGTTGACCATCCAGATGACCATTCATCAGTGGTTGAACTGTTCTTAAATCTGGTTTTCTGTAAGCAAAAAAAGTACAATCTTTGTTGAAAGTATATTATTTTTATTACCATATAAAAGAAGGAGATGTTGCATGATTGACAATGAGACAACTGTCCAACAGAGTCCATATTTTTTCAATGTTCACCCAGGTACTTTTTTTTAGAAGTACAAGTAGTAGTTTTTATATGAACCTTTCTTGCACTCCTTAGATGGTGCAAACAAAAGAAATATCAGTGAAATAGATTAGATTATAAGATTATAATATATAATATAAAATGCTCCGCTGGGCGCAGCTTGATACGACCGCAGAGGTCGAACCCTGAACAGTTGGGGCAAGTATGGACACAACATTCAAGCTTGATACAGCACTGAATTTGGATTGTGATTAAATATTTGACACAGCACAGGTTTCTGACACAGAATGAATGTGGTCTAAGAACTTAAAATTTTTTAATTTACCTATTCAAACCATATCATTATTATTTGCTTTTATATATAAATCAGAAATAACCAATTTCAAATGGAAAATTTTAAAGAAAAATAAAATGCTCCGCTGGGGCGCAGCTTGATACGACCGCAGAGGTCGAACCCTGAACAGTTGGGGCAAGTATGGACACAACATTCAAGCTTGATACAGCATTGAATTTGGATTGTAATTAAATATTTGACACATCATAGGTTTCTGACACAGAATGAAAGTGGTCTAAGAACTTAAAAAATTTTAACTTACCTATTCAAAGCATATCATTATTATTTGCTTTTATATATAAATCAGAAATAACCAATTTAAAATGGAAAATTTTAAAGAAAAAAAAAGGAAAAAAAATCCCCCCCCCCCCAAATTTTTTGAACCCCCTTATGATTCATCACCCCCAAACTCAATCCCAGCCTTCCCTTTGTGGTATGGTACCTTGCAGTACAATTTCATAGAGATCCTTACACTTGAACACAAGTTATTGTCTGGAAACTAGAAAAATGCTTGTTTTTTGGCCCCTTTTTGGCCCCATATTCATAAACATGTAGGGCAATTACCCCCAAACTCAAACCCAGCTTTCCCTTTGTGATATGGAACCTTGTAGTACAATTTCATAAAGATCCATACACTTACACATAAGTTATTGTCCTGAAACTAGAAAAATGCTTGTTTTTTGCCCCTTTTTGGCCCCTAATTTCTAAAATTTTGAGGCAATTACCCCCAAAATCAATCCCACCCTTTCCTTTGTGGTATGGTACCATGCAGTATAATTTCAGAGAGATCCTTACACTTGAACACAAGTTATTGTCTGGAAACTAGAAAAATGCTTGTTTTTTGGCCCCTTTTTGGCTCCTTATTCCTAAACATTTTGGGCAATTACCCCCAAACTCAATTCAAGCCTTCCCTTTGTGGTATGGTACCTTGCAGTACAATTTCAGAGAGATCCATACACTTGAACACAAGTTATTGTCTGGAAACTAGAAAAATGCTTATTTTTGGCCCCTTATTCCTAAACGTTTTGGGCAATTACCCCCAAACTCAATTCCAGCTTTCCCTTTGTGATATGAAACCTTGTAGTACAATTTCATAAAGATCCATACACTTACACACAAGTTATTGCCATGAAACTAGAAAAATGCTTGTTTTTTGCCCCTAATTCCTAAAATTTGGAGGCAATTACCCCCAAAATCAATCCCAGCATTCCCTTTGTGATATGGAACCTTGTGGTACAATGTCAGAGAGATCCATACACTTGAACACAAGTAATTGTCATGAAACTAGAAAAATGCTTGTTTTTTGCCCCTAATTCCTAAAATTTGGAGGCAATTACCCCCAAAATCAATCCCAGCATTCCCTTTGTGATATGGAACCTTGTGGTACAATGTCAGAGAGATCCAAACACTAACACACAAGTTATGTCTGGAAGTTACAAAAATGCTTATTTTTGGCCCCTAATTCCTAAAATTTTGAGGCAATTACCCCCAAAATCAATCCCAGCCTTCCCTTTGTGGTATGGTTCCTTGCACTACAATTTCAGAGAAATCCATACACTTGAACACAAGTTATTGTCTGGAAACTAGAAAAATGCTATTTTTGGCCCCTTGTTCCTAAAAGGTTTAGGGCAATTACCCCCAAACTCAATTCCAGCTTTCCCTTTGTGATATGGAACCTTGTAGTACAATTTCAGAAAGATCCATACACTTACACACAAGTTATTATCATGAAACTAGAAAAATGCTTATTTTTTGTACCTTTTTTGGTCCCTAATTCCTAAAATTTTGAAGCAATTACCCCCAAAATCAATCCCAGCATTCCCTTTGTGATATGGAACCTTGTGGTACAATGTCAGAGAGATCCATACACTAACACACAAGTTATGTCTGGAAGTTACAAAAATGCTTATTTTTGGCCACTTTTTGGCCTCTAATTCCTTTACTGTTGGTACCATAACCCCCAAAATCAATCCAAACCTTCCTTTTGTGGTATTGAACCTTTTGGTAAAATTTCATAGAGATCCATTCACTTAAACTAAAGTTAGAGTGCTAAAACCAATGTGTCTTCGGACGACTACGACGACAACGATGATGCCAACGTCATACCAATATACAACCACAAAATTTTTTTTGCGGTCGTATGAAAATAATTGATCGGCACTGATTTTTGAATTCTTCAAGAACATTGATGATGTAAACCTATAATAAAAATTTCATAAAAATCTGGCAAGAATTGTACACATTAGAGCGCTCATAAGGCAATTTTCCATATAATTAATATTTCCAAGGGGCATAACTCTTTTAAGAAGTATTGATCTGCACTGATTTCTAACTCATCCAAGATATTGCTTATATAAACCTATGATATAAGTTTCATAAAAATCTGGCAAGAATTCAATACATGAGAGCCCTAACAACAGTCAAGGGTCTAACTTAAATAAGTTATTAGAGAAAAATAACATACATATGTTATTATGGATGCTTTCATGAGTTGTCTACTCTTAATTCCTAAAATGTTCTTAATCTATAGTAACATATGTTTGTTATTTGTTAAAACAAAGCTTTAATATTTTACTTTTTATTGGGCACTTGGGAAGTCTTGAAACTTTGCGTAGAAACCTAATGCATAGACTGGATAACTCATTTTCCAATTAAATAAAATCATTTTTGATCAACCATGGTAAATCAATGAGACAAGGCTTTTAAGTGATAAACTTAGCTGTAATAACAAGGCTTAGATTTTACAGGCATATAATTCAGAATGGGAAACTTTGGAAGTACTTGAAAGTTTGTGCAGTACCTCATTTTATGCTCTGATTATTATTCATTACAATAAATCAAAATACATTGTGATTAAGCATGATAGATGTCTGAGCAAAGGCTTTGAAGTGATGTAGAATAGCTGTAATAACACCCTTTAGTTATAACAGGTATATTTTTTCTGTAATAACACAGATGTAATATGCATGATTGGCAAACTATATCTTTCTAAAGTTTAGAATGCATATAGACAATAATAATATCAATAGAACTTGTATATATTTTAACAAAACAAAGGACGTTTACTGCCCCTTTGAAACATGTAACATGCATATGTTATCCCAGTTTTGGGATTTTTTAGTCAACAACAGCAAATGTATGTTATTTTTCTCTTATAACTTATTTAAGTTAGATTCTTGACTGAACAATGCAATTTTCTATAAAATTAATGTTTCCAAGGGGCATAACTCTTTTAAAAATAATTGATTGGCACTGATTTTTGTCCAAGACATTGCTAATATACTGGTATATATCCTTCATTACTGAGAAACGATAAGGTAACACCAGTTTACAAAGATGGTGACAAGGTTTTAGCAACAAATTACAGACCCATATCTGTTCTTCCATCTCTATCAAAAGTATTAGAAAGGCATGTCTCAAATAACATGTACAAGTACTTGTCTAAATTTAAACTTTTACATCCTACACAATCAGGTTTCAGGTCACATCATTCTTGTCAAACTGCACTTATTGATATCATTGACAAATGTCTGCAAGAAATGAATGATGGTAATTTAAACCTAGCAATACTGTTGGACTTCAAAAAAGCATTTGATCTTGTAGATCATGACATTCTTTGCTTAAAGCTTGCTATTTATGGATTCAGTGAGTCTGCAGTAGGTTTTTTCAGGTCATACCTAAGTAATAGAACACACCAAGTAAACATTTGCAATGTTAATTCTGATAAAAAAGATGTGAAATTTGGTGTCCCCCAAGGATCTATACTAGGTCCTCTATTATTTGTCTTATTTATAAATGACCTTCCCCTTTGCATTAAAAATTGTAAAATTCAGGTATAAGATTTATTGTCCCCTGCAACGCGTTACGCGGTGGACAATAAATTTCTTTCCATTTCCTCATAATTTTTTTTTAATTCTTATTAGAGATATTTGATATTGAAAGAGAGAACAGGCCTTGACAATAACGCTTGTCCGATTGTCCGGTACCAGAGGAAAAAAAGGTCGGACAAGTAAAAGCTATATCAAGCTTGTCCGACGGGACAAGTAAAATTATTCTGCAGAAAATAAATTTAATCCAACTTTGATGAACAAAGTAATTATAAACAAAAAACAAGAAAAGAAGATAAAAACAAGTATTAATTTGACATGTTTACTTGCAATCGATACTTTAAAACTGGTTCTTTGTCAGGTACTGTTTAAGAGGTAAAAGGCATACTTTTCTCAGAAACCATTTTTTCTGATCCGAATCAGCGATGCGCTTTGTAGATAAGGTAACTTTTCAAGACAGTTGGTCACCAGCTCGGAAACGATTTGGCACCAAATTTAATAGACAGTTTGGCACCGTAGGAGACATATTTAATAGACATGATTAATAGACAGTTTGGCAACGCAGGAAACATTTCATTTCGGGACCAAGACAAATCAGTACCTCGTTTTCCGTTTTCCGACCTTATTCTGTTGCTTTATAATAAATATCATACCTGTAATTTTTTTTAACAAAAAATATTTTTTAAATAAAAATGAAGAAATTATTTACCATAAAATTCACA